CATAGATCATCAATCAAGCTAGCTAGGAGATATATAATTCCATAATGAACTATGTGTGTGTAACGTCCTTTTCACAAATCCGAGCAACATCAGCTTGAGCGACGACTAACACAGTACAATACAATTGCCGGACTCGTTATTGAGAGTTGTTAAGATAATCTTCTTATTACAATATTGTCTAATTAATCTACAGCTTGATCATTTAGCAAATTAATACTGAACTTATGTTATATATATATATATATATATATATATATATATATATATATATATATATATATATATATATAGGGCCAGTTTGAGAATGTTCTGCCACACGTTTTTCAGCTCCGCTTTATGTTTTCTAGCCAAACAAGTGTAGTTTCACCCTAGAAAAAAGATTGAGTTGTGAGAGCACCTAAAAGGGTGCTCTAGAAACCCCAGTTTTGTGGAGCTGCTTCATGGTAAAATTTGTAGAACAGAGTTTGTGGAGCAGTCCCAAACAAGCTCATACATATATCATAAATGTATAGTTTTGCAATAGCTAGAACACCATGCATGTAAGAATCTAGTTTGAGGGCGTTATATTATAGTTTTCTCAGTTATTTATACTCTTATTCAATTTGGAACATCTCAAGTATTATTATTGGTTTTGCACATGCGTGCCTCCTTCAAAGATAGAAGAGAAAAACAAGTCTTGCAATCTCAATCTACCGCTAAGGATGTTTCGCATCCTAGAATTCATAGAGGACAAGTAGCCACATATATATACACAATAATAGTTCATTCTTGTTGACCCTTCATCTTCCTTTTCCAGCAGGAGGACATAATACACTGCAATTTAATTTACTCTATATATATTATGCTTAACAGAAAATCAGCCAACTCTAGTAGTCTAAGTGTCGGTGCAAAAAGTGACCAACAAGTAAATATTTATCGTTTTACCGTACATTGTGATCGGATGTGGCTTAGCACTCAATGACATAGGGTTTATACTGGTTCAGGCAACATGCCCTATGTCCAGTTTGAGTCGGTCGGTGACTTTATTCCTGAGCTCAGGTGCTCGAAGTTTGCTGTAGGGTTACAAACGAGTGGGAATAAGATGGGGGTGTTAGAGGTCCGGTCGGACTCTGGACCGAAGGGCCGAGAGTGACGGGAGCTCCTACGTGCGCTAAGTATTGGAACGTATGCTCTGTGTAGCTTTAGAGTTCTAGAGCCTTAAAGCTGTTCGAGTGCTCAGAATGTCTAAAGCTAGCAGAAAGAGAGTCGGAATGATCCGTTTGTCCATCGTCCTTTTAGGAGGGAGCGCATCCCCTTTTATAGATGAAGGGGACGGTCTTACAAGTTAGGAGAGAGAGAAAGTGTGTGTGTTTCCTAGTTTTGTTGCCCACGCCGTCGGGTACAAGACAGTTTGTCGGCGCCAACAATACTATTGACGCCCAGATGCATGTGGTAGGCTCCATCATGTTTTTCTAGTACGGCAAATGTCGGCGCCTACCATACTATAGGATAAATGCCGGCGCCCACAACACTGTTTGTGTTCTGACATGTCTGAAAGGTTGCAAAGCTCCCTTCTGGCATGGCCTGATAGTACTGTCCTGCAGGTGTGCAGGGTACGGTCCTCGGTATTATGGTTGATTTGAGCTCCCTGCCTTACTTGCTCCGCCAGTTTCTTAGGTCCTCACCGAGCGGGCGTCCCCGTTCGGTCGTTTCCAGTCGGCTCCAACTGCGCCGGTCGGAGAAGAGCTGTAAGTAGAGGATCGGTGTATTCCCGATCGGAGAAGCGGGTCGGAGTCGGAAGCGAGCGTCGTCCCCTCCTTGGCCAGGCCTTCCGGTCGGAGAAGCGGGTCGGAGTCGGAAGCGAGCGTCGCCCCCTCCTTGGCTAGGCCTTCCGGTCGGAGACGCGGGTCGGAGTTGGAAGCGAGCGTCGTCCCCTCCTTGTCCAGGCTTCCGGTCGGAGACTAGATCGCTCTTCTGGCCTGTCGTTTAGGTATCTAAGCCGGCCGGAGTTGTGCGTCGTTCGCAACGTTGTCTGCTGGGCCAAACTTTTGCTGGGAAGCGGGCCCATTAGGGACCCCGGATTTATGAACCCGACACTAAGTATCTATACTATATTACTGTATTTTAGGTTTTGAACCCTCCATTGTAGCCGGCGCGCCAATGCTTCTTGCCATGAATTATCTAGAGTAATTAATGTTTCTAAAACTTCCGCTCAAAACTGCACAAGATAGAAAAATAAAAATAGTGCACATAGAGAACTACTATATATGTTTCTCAATTTAATTTGTAGACATCATATACTGCAGAAAATTTTATACTGTAAGCCATATATACATGAAAGATTGTACTGCCATTATTAAAATGCACGGCAGACTTGAGTTGTTTATGGACACTTTTGCTCTAGAATTTAAAATTCCTACTTATTCTAACTTGGTGAAAAAAATAGGCATATACACATATAAACATTTGTTCCCCATTGAGTGTCTGAAGCATGATGTGAATTCTCATTAACCCAAAAACACTTCGAAATGGTGTATAAATGATAAAATTTGAAGCACTCCTACTTAGATTTGTGCATGCACGGGAGCGAGGCTAGCTACACACTAGGACTATACCCAGTATCAGTTTATGTATCTCCAATTCTAACAACTATTCCCAACTAACTAATTGAAGAAACTTTTACTGGTCTAGTTAGATATATATATATATATATATGCTCTGAAGGTCATCTTATATATGTATTGTGCTTCTACGTAAGAACCATTCACTAGAATTTATGCCATGTATATGATGAGTGCAAATTAAATAGATCACTAGGTGAACTTACTACCGATAAAATATATAGGAAGCTAGAACAAACATGAAACAAAACTATTATACTTGTAACTAGGCAAAACTTTGGATATACAACACGCACATATGAAACCGGCCTTAATCCAAATGTAACCATTTTTATCAATATAATGTAATGTGTGTATATGACTGTGAGAGAGGCAATCAAATTACACACGGAGGAGCATGCATGCACGAACTTTTGATTACCAACAATCCTGCTGGTGTCCAAGAAACAACAACGACATCCGTACAGATGTAAAAGCTACGAGGTTTTCTTGATAATAAGAGGAAATATATATATAATTGTGAGTGAGATGGTGAAAAGGAAGAAGCAAAGCAGAGATGAGGCGCTACGACAGCTAGTAGCTAGATGTATAGTATAGCACAAGGACAGTACACACTGTACCACACTACATGTAGCCGGACTGTAGGCCGGCCGCCGAGCTATCAAATTTTACAGAGAGCGTGTGGTGAAGCTAGGACAAGAGATCACATACCAAAATGTATGAAGTAGGTGCTCCTTTTGTTTGTTTTGTTCAAAGTTTTATGGGTGGGTAAATATAACTAGTTAACTGAGAAGAATGAGAAGTGTGTGTCAAGTGAAGAAGGGTAATATTCTGGCTGTGGACTCAGAGACTGATGCATGCTTATATATGTATCCTTAATTGGATGAGCCCTACAGCTTTTTTAGAGTAAACCATGTACTGTGCATTGTTTCTTTAGACGACAAATCATGTACATTGTTGACATTATTCCATCATTCCATGTGACTGGTATTGGTTGGTATAAGACCGGCTCTAACGAGCGACCCATACGACATCCAAACCTAAAATGGGTAGCAAGAGACTCAAAATCAGTCTCTAATCTATACGAGGGATCTATTTTGGGTGAGAGGCACAACTCAAATACGGGCATCCTCTCTCTAAAAAACTATTTGCAGAAAGGATTCTCTTTTGGGTCTGGTTGTTGGAGAAGATACTGAATAGGTATTAAACCTTTTGTCTATAGCGCTACCCAAATGACGAATGAGTCTTGTATTTTGGGTGTTGTTGTTGGAGATAGGCTAAGGTGGATTTCCCTTTTTATTGTTAAAGAACTGCAACATTGATCTACGTCACTTCACCAAAAGAATATTGAAAATAGTACCCCTAGGAAAAGAGGAACAGTGGTGTGACAAGGTCCACTATGTACTCTAGAGAGAGAAAGAAATGGTGGAGGAGAGAGAGGCCAAGATGTTACAAGGCAGCTAGATAGCATTGTCGAGATTAGCCAAAGGAACTAATCCAAAAGCCACATCAATCCCTGCAAAAAAATGCATAGAGATACTGCTGTACTTTCCCGTGTTCTGGACTCTGGAGCAAGCAGCACAAGCTGATTGCTCATCCATCCCAAGGCGGAACAGCAAGTTGCTTCAAAATAACCAAACTGGAACAAACTAAAACAGCATGCATCGATAGAGCCCAAAACATGCAACAAATCATATAAAAAGCACCAATGCAAGAAACGCCCAGCTTTACACAAGCCAAATGGATCCAGAGAGGGAGAAGCTTCTCCCCCCATGCATGTAAACAAAAGGAGATTAGTGCAAGCAGTCACACTGTGTGATCTACGTAGTACGAGCTACTTACTATATATACATACACTACTCATCATGGGAGGATTATATATATTAGCTTATGTTAAACTAGCTAGACAACATACAGTAGCTAGCACTAACTAATCACGTGCTGGACTACTGCATGTCAAATGGAGCTCCCATCATTTGTGGAATGAGGAATATAATGAATTGAAGAAGAAGAAGGAAGCTACACTTAAAATTCTTGTCTTTGCATTGCATTAAGGTGGCCAATTAATAATGAACTCGAAACAAGATTGCTCAACAAGTAGCAGTACACTAGCACTAGCTAACAACATTATATATGCTACATTGATCATGCATTAGTGTTCATCGATCAACGACTCGAATGCGGGTAGTAGTAGTAGTAGTAGTAGTACGTAGTAACAATTAAAATATCTTCTCTTCTTGTCTCGAATTTGTTTGCTGATCACGACGACTACGATGACGATGACTTAGCTCATGCTCATCATCATCTTTGATTTGTTGGAAGAAGTAAATGAAACCATCAAGGAATTAAGCTACTAGGATCGATAGGAATAATGGAAGCAGCAAAGCTAGCTAATTTAAGCTAGGTTCTAGGGTTATGAGGGAAGAACTGGGTGCCTGCGGCGAAGGCGCCGATCGGCGTCGGGTACGGGTCCATCAGCACCGCCGCCGACGTCGCCACCGTGGCCGCCGCCTCGCTGCTCCCCGCCGGCGACGACCCTTCCCTCGCTTGCCCCGCCGTCAGCTGGTGGTACTCCGCCGAGGACGGCGGCAGCTGCCCCACCGCCGCGTCGTCCGCTGGCCCGTGGTCACGCAGGATCCCCTTGAAAGTGTGCCCACCGATGCTCACCGCCGTCTGGTACGCGAGCTCCGCGTCTGGCTCGTCCACCGGCCCGATCCGCACGCAGCGGAACACCGCCTCCACGTTCAGCTCCGGCGGGAACCTCCCGCCGCCGCCGTCGCCTGTAACCGCATCAAGAGCAAGATCACCATTTGCATAGATACTTATATATATATTGTATAATTAAACAACGCGCTATGCCATGTCATGCCGTCCGCCGCAACAGTGTGACGACAGTGTAGTCAGTGGTGGAGTGTGCCGTGCAAGCGAGGACTACCTGAGGAGGTTGTCGTGGTGACCATGGCGGAGTTGGCGGACGGCAAGCGGCCAAGGGAGCGGACGAGCTCGCGCGGGCGCTTGCTCGCGGCCGCGGCGGCGGCTGCGGCTGCTGCGGCGCTGGCGCTGTTGCTGTTGGCGGCGCCGCAGAAGAGCGCGGCGAGCTGCTGCTGGCGCTCCCGACGCTTGGCGGCGGGGACCCAGGTGCTCTTGACGTGCGTGGGGCAGCTGAAGCCGCGGCTCCGGCAGCAGGTACGGCAGCGCATGTGCACGCAGTCCTTCTTGGCGTTGTTGCCGCAGTCCTGGCAGCTGGTGCCGGCCCTGCCGCCCCCGGCGCCGCCCGCGCCGCCGATCCCTCCGGCGCCCCCGTCATGCGAGGAGAAGCCGAGCACGACGCCCGTGGCGACGGCGCCGGAGGAGAAGAACTGCGACGTGTGCGGCGCGGCGACGGCGGCCGCCGCCGCCTGCTGGTGCGGGTGCCAGAGCTGGAACCCTATCCCGCCGCCCCCGCCGCCGCCGCTGGCCGCCGTGTCGGCGGCCGCGGCGGCCGCCCCGCGCGCGTACAGAAACAGGCTGTCGGCGCCGATCGGGTGATCGCCGCCCCGGTCCCCTCCCCTCCCGCCTCCGCCGCCGCCGCCGCCCCTCAGAGAGAACCCAGCCATGCGAGGCAGCAGCCACCACCACCCACCATCAAGACTAGCGAGAGGGAGAGTGTGTGCACCACCAGTCCACCACCACCACCAAAGAAGCTAGCCTTTGCAGCTCCTCCTCCGATCCCTCTTTCTCTCTCCCTCCTAGCAGCTAGCTCCTACAGCAAAAAAACCAAGTAGAGATCTTGGGAGTAAGAATAAAAAGCAGGTTCAGAAGCAGGAATAAAAAGCAGGCATGGGGTTGGGTTGTGTGAAGGCAAGTAGGTTAGATGCATGAGCTGCATATATAGATCGGCATAGCTCAGTAGAGGATGGATCGGTGGTAGATCTGCAGCGAGAAGCTCCTAGACATAGAGAGAGATTTGTGCAAGCAAGCTAAGCGTAGGAGATGAGGATGAGGATGAGTAGCCTTGCTGCTGAAGTGCTTATGAGTGGGATATGCATATGCGAGTGAGCGAGAGAGGAAGATAAACCTGCAACTGCTGTGCTCCATCGCCACTCTACACCCAACTCATCAGTGCTACTCACCTTGCCTTTGCTGAAAATAGGAAGCTCACCTCTAATCCGCTTCCTCTTCTTGCCTAATTCCTTTCCTCTCTTGGCGTCTTGCAAATTGGGGTCTAAGCACGCAGCAAGTCCCTCTCTTTCTCCCTCGCCGGCCCTAGTAGTATCTGGAGGAGGAGGGAGGTTAGTTGCCGAATAAGTAGAGGTAGAGAACGCAAGCAAGCAAGCTGCTTTTTGGGGGTGATGAGGAGATGAGGTGGGAGGCTATATAAAGAGGCGGAGGAAGAGGAAGAAGAGAGAGCCAGGGGGAGTGGGTTCAGGGGAGGAATTCGAGGGCGCCTGCAAACGCCGCCATGGAGGCGGCCCGGACCTTAATTTCTATTTATTGCTCGCTCCGATCCCACAGCTCAGCTCACCTCACCTCACCTCACCTCACCTCTCTAGCTTATCTCCACTCCACCCAACCAGATGAAAGAGAAGAGAGAGAAGAGAGAAGAGGAGGAAAAGGGAAGAAATGGAGAAAGTGAATATGGCAGTGGTGGTGGTAGTAGAGTGTGTATTTTCTTTTTCACTCTTCTTTTTGCAGAGAGAGTTTGCCTTTGCCTTTGCCCACCTCGGTTCCTTTTTACAATTTGTACCTTGGGCTTTGGGGAATTATTACTGAGCTGTCCCTGCCATCCATGCCTTGTCAATAACAGCATGACTACATGGCGACAGAGGACAGGGAGGAATTTTTACTGACAGGAGAAACAAGGCCTTTGCAGTGTGTGGGTGGATGTGGTCGTCGTCTTTCATCCATCCGTCCCCCAGCAGGCCCCAACTCGCATGCACTGCAGCACTTGGCAGTTGGCCGGGTAGAATTGTTTATTTATTTCGGTTATCTGGGTGTATTATTGTATTATTTGATGTCCATGTCCAGGAGAGGAGATGACGATGAAATATATATTACTGTTCTACTAGATATGCTGGCATATGCATGCATATGGTAACTGTTTTTTTTTTCATCTGGAAAGAAAGCATTGCAATTGTTATTACTAGTTACTTTTATCGATTAAATGAAGAGGAAAAATGCAATTGTTATTACTAGTTAATTTTATCAATTGAATGAAGAGGAAAAATGAAGTGTCATTTTATGGTTATCAGTAGCAGGGAATGTATGTCATATTGTTTTTATTTTTTATATAAATAAAATGTGAGTTGTAAATGATACTAGCTTCCCGAAGTACAAGGACAACGCTATATTTATAGGTTAGCTCCACTTAGCTAGGTATGGTCAAAAGTAATGTGTACACTATACAAAGCATGGAGCCTACCAGCTGAAACAATTCAATTCGAGCACATATATATGAGTATCCTCAACGCAAAAAGAATTGGACAGGGCCTCCGAGTAAACAGCTTATATAGGAGTACATGTGCATGTGTTTATGTTGTACTCTCCTTCCGTTCGTGCTTGTTTAGGTTTATAGTCAAAAGTTCATTTATTTTAGAACGGAGAGAGTATTGGATGTTTTAATGTGAAACATAAACATGGAAAGTAAAGGCAGCAAGAGAAGTACTTGGTATTTATACTTTTTTGTAAAAAAAATACGATTATAGTATCACCTCCTAAAGACTGATCCACCAGATCTCGATATTAACGTGCATTAATAGAAATTAGTAATGTATACACAAAAAAAAGATGATGACAAAATGGTTTACTTTTATCCATATACACATGACATAGAGCTGTGGAAAATAATTTTGTAACTACATATGCAAAAAAAAATGTACCGTGTTCATGATAGAGTTCATGAGTAGTACCAGCAACACTAGTATACATTCATGCATATGCATATTCCAAACACCTTTATTTGAAGGCTGGTGGCTAGCAGCTAGGTGCATGAACAAAATCCTTTTGGGACAAACATTGCATGCTATAGTGTAGAGCAGTACTCCCTCCCCCTACCTCGCATCAGACAGGAAATGTTGCACGCACTCTCAAAAACTGTTGGGAGGAATTTTCATCCGCCTGTGTGAGAAAGCTGTTTTTTTGCAGGCGAGCAGTGAAAAGAAAGAAAGGCAAAAAAAAAAAAAAGAGGCAAAGTGAAAACGGAACGGCGCCAGCTTCATTCAGCCTAGCTATCAGTCGTAGTGGCCGTAGCTGAGCGAGTTTAAAACCCCAAGGGTGTGTAGCGTGGGGTCATCCCGGCCGTCTAGGCGCCAGCGGACGGCGCATGCCTCGCCACGTGGCGGGAATCCGGGGCGTGTGTCGGGTAGTACCACTGGCGCCCTTTCCGGCCCGCCGGCCGCGAAAGACGCCGCTCCTCCTCCTGCTGCTGCTGCTGCCCGGTGGGCCCTCGCCGTCGTCGTCGTCGTCGCGCATGCACACACACTGTTGCATGCACTGTAGCATCTGTAGCAGCAGCAGCGGTAGGGCGAGGCAGAGATAGCGTGAACAGTGCAGTGTGACTAGTGAGAGAAGCTTCGTGCATGGACATGGACATGGACGACATGGACACGGACACGGACATGGACATGCATGGAGATGGACGGAACGCTAGAGGTAGGGGAAAGGGGAGCTTGTTGTGCTCGCTTGCTGTGCGTGGTGGCCATGGCGATTTAAATTTGACCTGCTGCTGTCTTGTTGTCACCATATGCTCTTGGCTTTCTGCTCGCTCTACGATGCAGAGAGCTGCAGAGGACATGGCATGGCATTGACACGGCCTGGTCTAGAACCTGTCAGTGCCTCATGATCTCGCCTTGCCTTAAAAAGGTTGCTGATCATCATGTAAAGCACACCCAAGGGCCGGCGAGCAGCAGGCTGCAGGGATCCTCTGCGGCAGGGGAATGAACGAAGAGGAACAACAGCGTAACGCCTCTGTGCTTGCTTGTCACTCTCTCGTGTCACTCAGACAGTCACTGTACCACGTACCCATCCTGCCGTTCACTTTATTGGTATCACGTCGCCGATTTATTTTATTTATTTGAGGGAGTCTTGTGTTAGTTGAGAATTGATGTAAATATTTGTGAGTTTATGCCAGGGCCGTCTCCAGGTTTTGGGGCCCGAGAGAGAAATGTAAATTGGGGCCCTCACGTTGATCGGGGCTGGAATGCTGCATATGGGGCAACGGCAGAATTACGAAACGAGATCACAACCAGCCTGTTCGCTTGCTCGTAAACGATCGTAAATTTCCAGCCGGGAACAGTGTTTTTCTCTCACACCAAACCAGCCAGCAGTAAATAATCTACGATACGATACGGCCTCCCGAACAGGCTATGGCCGATGGGCTAACGGAGATACAGAGTCACGTAAAACTGTAAAAGCGACTGCGGTAATTCAAACATAGAGACTCGCAGTAATTGAGCCACGGGGTCTAGGCCTTCTGTTTTTTGGGGACCCTGAGCGATTGCTCGCCTTGCTCATGGCCTTCAACGGCCCTAGTTTATGCTACCTTCGTCTCACATAGGGTGTCAACTTGTTTTTTTTCATACGCCAATCAATCTTAAGTTTGACTGAATTTATAAAAAAATATCAATACTTATTGTGCCAAATAAATATCGGTAGATTCATCATGCAATATATTTTATAGTAAATCTACATACTTGCACAGTCATTGCTCTTATATCCCAAATTACTCAACAATATAACGGAGAGTCACCAGTCCAAATTAACTGGGTACTTCTCCCACCCTAAAAAGAATGTAATTCTCCTTTTCTGAAGACCGAAACAATTTTAAGTTAGACCAAATCGATAAAAAGAAATACTAACATGTATGGAATAAGTATCCTGGAATAATCATGGAGTATTTTCATAATAAACTTATTTAGAGACATAGATGTTGATATTATTTTTTCTATAGTCTTGGTCAAACGTAGGAAAGTTTGACTTGTTCTAAACCTAGAATTGTATTTGTGTTTTCAAGGGAGCATATAGGGAAAAAAACTATGGGAATTCAATTATTGATAGTGAACAATTATTGTGAAATTGAATGCCAAAATAAACCTAGACACATGAGAGAGAGAGAGAGAGAGCATGTGCAATGAGACCCCAACAAACGGTAAAAATAAAGGAAGCAGTGTAGTAATAAAGAAAAAGGGCCATCTCTGGTCAGTAATCGAAATGATCAAACTAAAGTACACCTTGAACCACACACATTCCGCGGTTGTTTAGCATGGAACTAGTGCAGTAATTGACGCTGACAAGTGCGGCTACTATATAGTACAGTACTTTCTTGAAACTTGGACTTGAGGTTGACAACCATATGATTTTCTTACTTGAGTCCATAATACATTTTCTTTGCTGCTGTACATGTGACGTGACAGCAAACCATACGACAAAGTATACAGGTAACAAAAACATATGCATGGGCCTCCACTCCGGCTGTTCCAGCAGCTGCACGCACTTCTCCTACTCCCTCCCTCTGATCCTAATCCTACTGCATGCATTTTGCATGATGTGTATATATCCACGCACACAACCATTCGTAGCCACTTTGGTTGTTGGTTAAGCTAGCTACGTGTACAGGCAG